AGATTTTGGGTAAAGCCAGAGTGCAGACGTACGCAAACACTGCGTACATCGCGCACGCCGCGCAGTCTGGCCCAACCTTTGGGTACTACTATGTGTCTACTATACAAGGACCAAGTTGGAAGTCCGTAGCAATTTTCTGAAGGAAGATTTGTTTTTTACGGAAGCTAAAAAATTTTGATTTTTGGCTTCAAGGTTTACCTAGAAACGACTTAGGTGAATCTTTGGTGGTCTTTTTGTAGAGCTTGCTTTGCCCTAGAAAATGATAGGGAAAGGTAATCCAACTCTGTTAGGAAAACAAAAGTAGCTCAATTTATTTGAAAATGGGTTTACCTTTGGAACAACCTAATAGTTTGCAAAGATCAGGCTTTACTACTGTGCACAAATATTCTTTTTTTTAGTGTTTTTTTTTCGCTTAGAATCCAGACATTACCAAAATATCCAAAAGTTCGTCGGTTTGGAAATGTCTTGTATAATTTGAGATTAAATCAGTCCACAAAGCTAAATTTTTTCTTTTTACAGAATCTGTTCAACTGTTTTGGAAGAGCCGTCGGCTTTTTCGAGTTATTTATAAGTGAATCATGGTTTTTCTCTTGTAACTAAACATATTCACTCCCGCAGTCATCTTGCTTAGGTCCTCCTCTTTGACAGTAACGACAACCTGGATTTCTTTCATGTTTACTCCCAAGTTCTGGGGTTATGAAGGGTTGAAGAGCATCACTAGCTCGGTAGTATAAAAAAGTGAGTTTACATGGACAATGTCCATTGCGCTTCACCTTCAAACACCCATGGACTAATGCTTCTAACTATGTCTACGGTTGCAGTTATTATCGGCTACTCCAGTATTAGGATGTTAGCTGTGTGTGTAATAAAGCCATTTCTATCATTTACTAATTGTATTGTATAAATAACTGATGGTTTTTTGATCCGGGCAATACACAACTCGTGCATCCTGGCGAACACGCTTAGGATAAAGTATAAGGAAACAAGTAGGCAGTCTATCAGCTTAGTACCGTTCCTGAGGTAAGCGGCAAACTTATCCGGTTCAATCGGTTCATGCTTTCACTCCAGCTATTGGTAAAATCACTGAGTTGACCAATGGAAAACGGGTGAACCAGAACCAACCGGTTGAACCAGAATAGTCTAACGCCAATCTAAGTATAATTCGCATCACAAGAGTGTCGCACACATAATAAGCGAAAAGAGAAGACAACATCAATACGCGAGATATGGCATACTCAACACTCAATACGAAGGTGGCAAAGGGACATCGGTAAAATGGTCTCGCTTTTGCCCTATCGATCTTAACGATTTCCAACTTGATGCCGCCAGCTGCGTAGGTTTTTCTATTGGAGCGCTCTTCCTTCCTCAAAAAGATCGGCGTCGTTGCTAATCCGGATCCTAAGGAGAGGAGGATATTGGAACAAAATTGTCACTTTATACTGAACTTTAGGTGAAGAACAAATTTATAAAAAAATTTTGAAAAACTTATGTAAGATTGAAGCTTTGCCCACAAGTTGGGCATCAAGTGGGCAACTGTCCACTTAGTTTGGAAAAAAGTCAAGCACGCTCTTTAGTCTTAGTCAGTCAGTTAAGTTTTTCATAATTTTTCAAACTTTGTTCCTCAGTCTAATTGCACCAAATTAGACAAATCGACGCACCAAATTTCGTGCCATATCGTCATCTGTGCGTTGCGCCGTTATCATTTTGTGGTAATGGAATAGAAGAGCTTGCCATAACCTTCACTTATGAAAAAAAATTTCACAATACTCTACACCATGCTTATCCCAGTGCATGTCCGTTCAAACTCCAAATTTGGTCATATCATTATGTGTGCGCTGTAACCGAGATATTTGATTACAGCCCAAAGAAAAAAATTTGGATTTGAAAATGACATTCGAGCAAAATCGTGTTTTTGCATGTCAGTCGTATAGCAATTTGTGGAAGAGTGCACATACATGTAGATGTATGATTACGATGTCCCTTTGTTTTCCATTTCAAACGATTTCCAGCATGACGTTTGCCCACCTCGTACCGGACCCTTAGCATATTATAGGGATACATAAACGAAACAAAACGCGATGGTGCATCATACCGAATGGCATGTCTCATCTATCGTAGAGACACTGAGATGATGACATGACATTATAAAGAGGAAACATCCTTACGATACGCGACAAAAAGAAGGTTGGCCTTGGAGTTTCAACTCCAACGAGCTGTTTTATGCTCAGTTCTCAAAAATTTTTAAACTCAGAACTTTTAGATAGCTCTGGTTTTCTTCTTCCACATCTCAATCTTCATATGTATAACAAGGGTAGAACTGAATTACAAATAAAACATATAAGAAAGGTCATTTCATAGATGATACGGCGTCACATATTGTAAGCATTAGTAAAAAGCTACCATTGATGTCGGGCCGCCTTAGTTCCTTTTTCGATACCGAAAGGAGGGTTGGAGCCAACCGAGAAAACCCAAACTTGATGAAGTGGTGTTTTATTCCTAGAAGGCTGCCATCATCCACGTATGGTAGCGCTTTCGTAGAAACTGCGATTTACATGCGGCGTTAGCTTGGAAAAAAGAAGAAGGACGAGGGCTAACATAGTCACGCGACAAGCGTTAAGCCTTCACTCTAGCTAGTGATGTATGGAGGGTGTAATATCTTTATCTCTCCATCTACACAGAAGGGTTTCCTCATACATCCGACTTCAAAGAACCACGAAGCCTGCGAGAAGCGCTCTCACAAGCTTGGAACTGATGCGTATGAGAAACTCGTATGGACTTGAAGCTGATGCGCACGTGGAAAGGGATGATATTGGACTCGACTAGTGCAGCAGAGGATTTTTGTAGAGAGCAAGACTGACATCGAAAACATCTTGAAGGCACCGTCCACCCAAAGTGGAGATTGACGAGATTATGATGGCATACTAGTGTGAGCCCCCACACGAGGCAAACCCTCAGGTTGTGTAGCAAAACATTGCCTCCGGAGAGAAAAATCCGCTCCTAGAGGGACGTGCCCTAATTTCACGCGTACAAGGCGCACCTTTTTCGATTATTCAATTCAGTCCCTCAGCCGCTTCACTGTATTTTGCAAAACGATCCTTATGCCTACGATTCTCTCAAGCAATATACAGCACCGCATAGGGTTCTTTGTTTGCAAAGTTCTTTGGCGTGTTTGGGCTGGGCGATTTTGGAAAAAACCCCGCGCTTTGTACGCGTGAAAATAGGGTAATTCGGTGCTGGTCACTCCGCCCACCTGGTCACCCCGCCCACTTTGCAGGTTTGCAGATGACACGCCCGGCGTATCACCGCGCCGCAGCCCCGCAACCGGGATTGCACCCTTCTCCAAAACGGAGGTTTTTGGAAGTTTCGAGGATTCTCGACTCTATATTCGAAATCAAAGCCTTCAAAAAGCCGGGAAGCTTTAAAAACATGGAAGTCGAGAATTTGGGAGGACGGTGCCTTTGAACGCGGATATCATATGGTAGGCAGAAGCTATATATGTCCAAACATGTGTAGAAACTAAAAGCTATAAAACAAAGCAAAATGTCTTTTTGTTTTTAGATGAAGTTACAATCTTATTAAGCGCTCGCAGCTATGATGCTGAAATGTTGCAGAACCTTCGTGCCGGAAGGAAGTTGAAGAAGAAGGACCTTATAAAGCTAGAGTGGGAGGTGAAAAAGTATGAAAGTCATTCTCCTTAACAGGTTCCATCGATATTAGTACGCTTAATAGTCACCTACCTTTCCTACTATTTACAATTATAGGCAAAAATTACAAGTAAAACAATCCGTACAACGTACGGATTGTTTTACTTGTAATTACAATGCCGACTTAAATTCGGCATTGTAATTACAAGTAAAACATTCCGAACAAACATTCGTACCCTCATAAACTTTGATTTGAAGATAGCGTCCGGGCAAAATCTCGGACGACTTTTTTTCGCTTATCTGGGCTTACCCTTCTCACTGGTTCCAAGATGCACTTGCAAACCACCGTGAAAACCATTTCAAAGTATGATATTATGGATATGGCAATGCCATCTAACCTTTCTCTACTTTTCCACCTGCGACAAGTTGTACTTAGAAAAGAAAGATTATTAGGAGTCTTACTTTACTTTCACCAGCTCAGTCGTGATTTGAAGCGCCATATCCATCGAAGCTTATCATATTGGATCTATTTATGGCCATAAGAAAGGGGAGCAATGGCTTGATCTGGTCTCTTCACTGGAAAATAGATCTTTGAGCACTTCAATCGTTCAAGCCAAAAAGGCGCAAAACTTATGCAACTTGAATTTTCACTCCGACCAACCCAGTTGGTTTGGGTGATGGTCTAAGAACCATTAATTCCAGGAACACACATTGGAACGCGTAAGTTTTCTTAATTGCTTATATAATATAAATGGGAGTGAAAATGTATGCGTGTAACCCAAATTTGATGTCGTATGATGAACTGACGCTGTATAGAGCAGCTGTGCATTCCGGACTAATGCATGTTCGCGACAGTCAAAGCTGTATACGAGTACCCACGGCGTCGAAAACAAGTTAGAGATGAGCAGCTCAGGTGCAGATTGTTATATGCAGACATAGGCAAAGCTACAACGTGCAAAAACTATCATCTTTCAACTTAGCATTTGGCTGCAGTATCCAGAAACGCACCGCACTATTTGATCAGTGATCATTTTGTGTTTTGATTAATGCTTGGTTGAATAAAAGCGAATTGTGTTGGGTCAACAAAGGTCAAATGTGCGAACTGTCCCCGTTCAACACCGCACGTATTCTTCACAATTAATGGGAGCCTCTCTCTTCTTTACATCAGATGGAAAACAAACTTTATTGTAGTCATTGAATTAGATCAGATGCACTGCCTGGTTTAATTTTCACAAGTATAAAATGGCCGTGACCATGTAGACTCTGATAGAAAAATGAAATATCTTGTCATATTTCTCGTAGTAAGTTGCAATTTTTCTTCTTATCAGCGTTACTTCTTCAATAAGATATCTTTAGATGCCGGTTCTTTCTCTGGCATATCATGAAAATCTGAATCCAGTAGAGTCATCGTTTCGTCATGATTTTCGTCACCATCATAACAGTCTGACAGGCGCTGTGAAGAAGAGTTTTGCCGAATATGTGCAATCACATCACGTGCTGGTTAGTTTGACTATTTTACTAATTCAATAGGTTTTATATCATCTAACGCTTGAGAGGACTAGATCATACAGAGAAATATATATACAGGGAGTCCCAAAAGTATATATGCACCGTTTAATCGTCAATATCTCTCTTCCCAAAAAGTTTTTTGTCTTGATCCAGGCACCGTTTTGTAGAGCTGACTTCAACCTAGATTTGCAGTATAGAACGAATCACCCATCTCTCTTCACTACTGTGGGATTACGGTAGATACTTCAAAGAGGGTTTATAACAATGAAAGGCCATATTTTGCCTCAGAAAGGAAACAAAACAGCCTCAAAACGTTTACGCTGGGTTAATTAGAGTTGCTGTTTATAACTGTAAAGTTCCCAACTTATTATGATGCTTCATTGAAGAGTTATGCCAGGTAAGAGATAGCGGCCATTTTTTCAATGTTCCTAAAAAGTGCGGTTACATCGTTTAGAAGGCTTCTAATTTCGTGAATAGTTGAGTATTAAACTAAGCATCCATAAAAACCCTATTACACAAGTTTTCACATTTTTTTGAAAAATTTTGAAGTGGCAGCTTCTTCCACATTGACACCATATGTTTCAAGATTCTACCGTAATCCTACAGTAATGAAGAGAGATGGGTGATTCGTTCTATAATGCAAATCTAAGTTGGAGCCAGCTCTATAAAATGGTACTTGAAGCAAGGCAAAAGACTTCTTGGGAAGAGAGATATTAACGATCAAACGTTCGATACATTTTTTGGGACCCCTATAAATATATATATATTATAAATATATATAAATATATATAAATATATATAACTATAATATATAATATATATAATATTATATAAATATAAATATCAGTTGCGCACCCCAGGATTTCGTTCGGGGGGGGGGGGGGACAATAAAATTCCTGAGAAAAGTACGTGGCGTTAGCCACGTACTTGGAAAAATTGTTTGGTATGTTTCCCAAAATTTTTTGCGTAATCCCGAGCTCAAAGAAAGGCTGGCGCCACGTCCCCAAAAAATTCCTTGTAATGCAAAAATGAATTTTTAAACAATTTGAAAAATCATTTCAATCAAAGAGTCGCGACCCGTCTTTGGGGGGGGGGGAGGGGAGCTCCTACCACCTTTCCCCCCCCCCCCTTCTTGGATTTAGATAATGTCATAAAATGCGCTAAGCATACTCTATAAGAAGCACTATTGAGAACAATCGGTTTAGAGAAGTAAGAACTGCAACAAAACAATGTTGGTTACGAAAAAGCACATACTAACGCCAAGGCCCTGCGCGTATCTTACTCTTTAGTCGCGGCGCGACTTGCAACGCTCCAGTTGCATATAATTCGTCGCAAACTCAGTTTGAGCACGCGAAAATTAGCACGCTTTATTGACTTACAAAAGTTGCTATAAGCAAGTGTCTGAAGAGATCTGGCAAATGGAGTCGTGTGGTGAGCACAGGTGCGATAAGGTGAGAATGACTCCTCCAGGGTGAAGGGGGTCACAGTGGTCGCAGTCCCTCCAGGGTGAAGGGTATCTCAGTTGATCGAGAAATCATAAAATGCCGACGGGGGGGGGGGAGGGGGAAGGAGAAAATGATGGTGTTTTCTTATTTTCCAAATAAAAGTTTATCATATTAAATTCTCTGCCATCATTGGTTGTCTTTTTACCAAAATGTGAAAACTGATAGAATTGGAACAACCCTATATGTTTTTAAAAATATCATAGAAGATATGTATGCAAGAACATCTGTTTCGAGAAAGAGGTACAATTTTTAAGCTTTTACGAATTTTTAGAAGAAATTCGTAACTTCTGTAGATGAACAGCAACGTCAGCAATGAAAAGGTTTTTACAACTATCTTGTCTCGCTTTCGAATATATAGCTTGTCTGGAGTCTATTGAAAAAGTGTCTGGTGAAGAATGTGGGTAGTGATTTCTGGATATTTGCGAGTTTTTAGGTTAGAAAAATCAACTTCTGTAGATGAACATCTAATACGCCGTGATGGTGACCTTTGGAACCGACTCATCCTCCGCTTTTAGAAAATATATACTTTGCCTGGGGTCCGATGAAAAAAGTGTCTGGGTGAAGGGTGTCCTGGTGATTGCTGGAGATTTCCAAGTTTTTAACATTAAAAAATTCATATTTGCTGTAGATGAACATCTTATACGCCGAGGTGGCCACCATTAGAAGCGCCTCGTCCTCCGCATTCAGAAAATATATATTTTGCTTGGGGTCCGTTAGAAAAAGTGCCGGGTGAAGGGTGGGTGAGACTTTTATAATGGGAGTGCTCAAGTACAGGCTTTTTTACCACTATAAAAAGACGTCTACTTGAGCACTCCCATTATAAAAGTCTCACCCACCCTTCACCCGGCACTTTTTCTAACAGACCCCAGGCAAAGTATATATTTTCTGAAAGCGGAGGACGAGGCGCTTCTAATGGTGACCATCTCGCTATACAAGATTCATCTACAGAAGTTATGCATTTTTTTATGTTAAAAACTCGAAAATCTTCAAAAATCACTAGGAAATCCTTCACCCAGGCACTTTTTTCAACGGACCCCAAACATAGTATATATTTTCTGAAGGTGGAGGATGAGACGGTTTCAACGGCGACCATATCGGCGTACAATATTCTCATCAGCAGAAGTTATTACTTTTTTATGTCAAAAAATCGAAAATCCTCAAAAATCACTAGGCAAACCGTTCACTGCACTTTCTTGAATGGATACCAAACGTTTTATATATTTTCTGAAAGCGGAGGACGGAACGATTCCAATGGTGACCATCAAGGCGTACAAGATGTTCAACTACAGAAGTTATGAATTTTTTTATGTTGGCAACACGAAAGTCTCCAAAAATCATTACTCACACCCGTCACCAAGCCCTTTTTTCAACAACCTTCTCCTTTCCTATACATAAACAATTTACGTACAAATATCTTCTTTGCTTAACACAATGACGACCAAGGCATTTCGCGGAGCACAAAAGAAAACTCACGGAGTGGGTTTAAACAAAATAGTAGCCATTTCAACGATACACATGGTGTGCCAAACCTTGACACACCATGTGTGTCAAACGGTCGTCAATGTGTTAACCTTACCTCACTGTTGTTTATTTTTCCCGGCTTTTGGTGAAGGGGGTCATCTTGGTCCCGGCTCAGGGGTGAAGGGAGGGTGAGAAAATTCTCACACTATCGCACCTGTGGTGGTGAGTGAAATCGTGAGAGGTATGCCCAGAAAATAACGAATGAAAAGTCAAAATTTTTGTTCCAAAATCTGCCGGAGTTACAAGGGTGCCGATGCCATCTTCGTTTCTAGATTAAGGAAAACATTATACAACCCACTCGCCAACAAAACTAACTTAAAGGCAATGTCCGGGCAAAAACTCGATTTTAAGATTTTGTGCTTATAAGGGCCTATTCGCCATGCTGAATCCGAAAATCTACATTGGAAAGCGCGAAAGCAGCGAAAAGGGCTAAAACACAGGCGGGAAATCAGCAGGTGGGCGGGGCTTTCCCCAGTGCGATTTCACGCTCCCAGCTCCCGGAACTATTTTCTCGATTCCGCTAGCCATCCTAACATCGCTACCGGCCAAGTGCGAATGATTGACTTGAAAGCGGAAGCGAGAAGGTCGCTCCGGAAGCCGGGAACGCGAATTTGCGGTGGGGAGGACCCCGCCCACCTGCTCATTTCCCTCCTGTGTTAGAGCCGTTTTTCGCGATTTTCGCGCTCTACAATGTGCATTTTCGGATTCAGCGTAGCGAATAGGCCCAAGTAAGCACAAAATCTCAAAATCGAGTTTTTGCCCGGACACTGCCTTTAAGTATGAAGGTTTAAGACACGTTTAAACGACAAAAAGTTTGAAAGAGCGATGGATTGAGCCAGCAAGATCTAACCGCTTACGCTTTCGGCTCGCGATTTTCGCTGTTTGCGTCGCGCGCGCCTCCTCAGCTCATGAGATCCCACGACCGATGCTGGGTGATATAGCTTAGTTCGTATGGCGCTTGGAAATATACAAGTGAGTACTTTTGGCGCACTCTGTATACTCGCAATCTTGCAGGTTGCTAACCGCATATACATGCTCATCGCCAAGCTGCTTATCTGGTTGCGTCTTGAGTCTGGTCTCCACCAAAAAAAGGACTGCCTGTTCTTCATTGATAACGGACCGAAACGGAATATCACTGCACGTCAATTAGCTCGACGTCTCTCCAAACATTATGGAGTAGCTGTGCATGAGGTAAGAATCTCTATAATAGTTGATTTATAAGTTGCCTGGCAAGCAAGAAGAGGCTGACTTGTTTTTAGCAGCTAACAAAAGTTTTGCCACGGTTATTCTCCTAATGATTATTGTTTGCGACGTGAATTCTTTCGATGGCATTGCCGCAGCGCAGCTCATTTGCTGCCTTCAATGTGTTGCCACAAAAATATAGGTACTCTTAATGGTAGTGGTGCCGTTTGAAGCGGCTCTAAACTTGTGCGACCTCGCCTGGACTCTACACTGCATTTGCGAACTTGGAAATGCTCTTCGTTGGCCATTTTCCCACGAAGAACCGTGGCGAAGGCGTGCGAAAACGATTAGACAACGTATTCGCAAAGGCTGTGCAGAGCCCAAGCGAGTTGGTCGCACAGGGACGAGTCGCTCGAGCTGATGCCATTCCCAGCAAGGCAGATCCAATTTACCAACAGCACCTCCAGTCATCTCGGAACACGCGGCGACGTGAAATGCTTGTTGTAAATCACCATTGTACAAGTCATGCTCTCGCAACATTGTGTACCGTTTCGTCACCGTTGCATGGGTCTAGATTTCGTCGATAACAGAGTTCCACCGGCTCAGGCGTTCTCGAAAGTAAGCTTTCGCAAATGTACTTTCTGGTCATCGTTTCCATCTGCTAGGGTGGGATATCCAGAGAATAGTCCGCCATCGCGGCGCGAGACTCGAGCGAGGCGACCGCAAGGAGCCGCGCCGATGGGTCTTTGACACCTTCTTCGAGACAGGCTGTAACTGTACTACGATCTGAGTGCTTTGAAAAGCGCAAAACGCAGCAATGGCGTATGGGAAAAGCCGAGACACAATTCTTTGTAGGCAAACTAGACATCCAACTGCTGTATGCCATACTTCTTCTAAGCTCGATCATGCGGTCAAAGCCTTGAATGCTTGATGCAAATTGCGACTATCGCGTTCAAAGAATGAGGAAACTATTTTTTACTTTGCTTAAACACTTTGGCAGGCTATTTTGCACTCTTGTACAGAACCCGCATGGTTGAGACCATAGGTGCGATAGGGGGAGCACGGTCTCTCCCAGGTGAAGGGGGTACCTCGTATTTTTGACTGTCAAAAGTGAAGGGGGTATGTGAGAGCAGAAGAGTTGCTGACTTTGCCAAAATGCCGGTGCGTGGCAATGGGGTGAGGCGGGCGGGAGATTGAAATTCACTGCTGCGCTGCTAGGAGTTTATTTTTACCACTTGTTTATTTTCCATTCTGAACAAAATATGAATCCAAGTGCATGTTGAAGAGACGAGCAGAATAAAGAAGTCTACATTACAAATTAAAAAGTAACGGAGCCAAACTAAAAAGAATGTGCAATCGCTCTACAAGTTTTCAATATCGTCATCATCGTTAATAATACTGTCACTACCATCGCTGTCAGAAAGATGTTCGTTCTCTGAAAAATCTTCTTCCGCGAGAACATTATCAGAATAAAAATAAAATTGCGTTAGGAATTTATCTGGATCAAAAATTGATTTAAAATTTTCTTCTTCTTCAATTCTCTTCAACGATTTTTTCCCTGGTCCTCTGGTGGCACCAGGAAAATCGGCTGGTTGATGACCAGTGTCTTCATGCCATTTTTTGGGGTACTGCAAAAAATCGTATGGCGACAATTTATCCGGGCCGCTGATAGCAATTCTGCAATGAAAAATCTTAACCAGATGTACCTTTACCTCAAGTTTACTAACCTCAGATAGTTGCTGAGGTGGTCCACCGTCGTGCGGCTTCTGCGCTGTGATCGGATTACTGAATAAATGGAGAAACCTCTTTCCACTTCCGCTGTGCTGGTTGGAATCGAAACCAATTTTGCTAACAGCTCCATCAAATTTCTGCGATAAGTGATAGAAAATGAGCCATATCTCATGTGCTTCCGCAGCACAGGAAGAAAATATTGCATTTTTGCTTCACTCTTTTTGAACTCAGCTCTCACTGCTTCTGGCATGCGTCTCCTGAGCTGCATAGATAGCTGCTGAAGTTCTTCTTCTATAGAATTGGGGGAATAACCAAAAAATGTAGACAATGTGCTGCGGGTACCCTTTTCTGCCGCATTATAGTTTATAATGCTAGAGGGCGAAAAACCTCCAGCAGCGTAAAGTACAGAATGGGGCTCGTACTCTAGCCGAGATCTGAGAGCAGTGGCTATGCTTTTTACAAGCACTTTTCTCTTGTTCAGGTCCATGTTCGTGAATTTTGCAATTCCAAAATCTTCTGCTACCTGAAGCTCCGCAATAGATTTTCTAGATGTCTCCTCATTAAAGTTCTGCAGACTGCTTGGGTCTTTGATGTATCGGATAAGATTGTTTCGCTCCAATGTTAACTGTTTGTTGATGTCGTTGGCACTTTTGTCTCCAGCACTTGATCCTCCCGCACTCTCGATGTTGAACTCGAACACGTGCAAGTCATCTGCGATTTTGTAAAGTATTTGACAAGCTGCTGATTCTTCGTTTTGCCAGCCATTCCAGAACCTGAGAGTATTCTATATAACAACTGCTCTTGTTGGCAGAGTACTTTAATGGTGATGAAACGAACCATTTTCTACAATCAGGCGAATCCAGAGCGTTTTGACGGAAGTTACCTGCTTCATTGACAGGTTTACAGAGGATGGATTCTAGAAATGGACGCGTTTTTGTGTTGAGGTGTGGAGATTCGGCGGCTTTATCAAGTCGTGCGAGAAGGGTGTTTAGGTCAGTTTGCGCTTTCCAAAGAGTGGATGCTTCGTCCTGAGAGACAAATCACAGAAGCATTATATCTAACAAGTGCGATACCTGAGCTTCTCGTGAGAGTGTGCCAATCTCTCCAAGGACTTGCAGCTGGAACACCATGTATCGGTAGAACTTTAGCGATTTGATCACGTGCAGAAATGCTCCGGCTTTTAATCGCTCCTTACTCGGAATTTGCGCAGTCTTGGATATCGTCTCCAATGCAAGCCATACATGCTTGTACATTTTCAAAAAGCTGTGAATAGCATCTGAAATAACAGCGCTTTTGTGCAAAAACAAGCAGGACTCAAAACTTACTTTCTTCAGATGAAGTCCATCTCACAGCGATAATTCTTTTCAAATTCACGAAGCGCTCATTAGATAGGGTTTTATCCACTTCTAGCAGCACGCGTTTCCTTGATGGAGCTGCAAAGAAGGAGCGCAATCTGTTGAGGTATGCCGTTGCAAATTTTCTCCATCGCAGAAATTCCTCGTCTGCTTCAGCTAGAGCATCTGCCAGAGCTAACTCTATTTTGTGTGCCATGCAATGAATCCATATGATTGGATTAGGCAAAACAGAATCTATCTTCTCCTGCGTAGCACCTCTACTTGCCAATATATCTTTACGAGATTGCGAAATGTTTTTGTTGAGTATGCCGCGAAGCCCGCCCTCGGCACTCATGGCACTAGCTCCGTCTGTAGCCACAGCTACCAGATTCCAAATAAATTCATTGAGAAGCCCTGCCTTACTGAAGTATGCATAGATTGTTTCAAAAATGTACTTTCCAGTTTCAGCTTTGACCATCTCCACAGCTTCGAGGAAGTGCGTTGTAGGATGTAACGTTGTTCGATCTGGGAAACGAACAAAAAGTAGAAGTATCTGCTTGCTATCAGGATCCGTTGAGGTATCGACTAGCAGTGAAAATGGGGATTGATTTTTTATGAGGTAGTCGATCAAGGTGTCTTTCATCTTTTTGCTAATGTAACTAGTCATCTGCACGAATCCATCGCGCGTGTGGTGCTTATTTCCTATCTGCAATCCCAATTTCGATACTGTTTCACACAATGTGGGAAATTGATATGGAGGAAGGTAAATTTTTGCTGCCGCATAAGCAAGCATAAAAAGACTGCTTGCTCCTGTTCCAGAACCTGTGTGAGCGCTATCCACATCATCAAGGTAGCTGTTCACCTTATCGTTGGTTTTCCGTACATAGTACTCTACTGCTGCTTGGTGTATGGCGTGATCGGATCGGATATGGTTTTGCAATGTCTTTTCAACGCTGGATGTGAATTCCGTTCCCTCCTTTGATGAAATTGGATATGGGGAGCCTTTGACTTGTCCTGATCGATAGTACTCGTAGCAGGGTTCACAGCGCACCTTCAGTACGCGCTTTCCTCCAACCCACTCATTAGGAAAAAGTGGCTTAAAATATTGATATTTTTCATCCTTCAAATTTTGTAAGATTTTCTTTTCTTTGTCGGTGACGAAGTGCCCCGAGTTCACGAGCATATGGTGATCGCGACAAAAAAAATTGCATCTTTTGCCTGACTCGTAAGCTAACATCGCCTCTCGGGCGCGTTCTCTAGCTTCTTTGTGTAGAACGTTTTCGTTGCTGAGGGCTTGTCGATAGAGGTATCCTACCCACGTCATTAAGTTGGTTTTCTCCTCGTAAGAAAATGCGGAACACTGATAGTGAGGCACCACTGCGACATCTCCAGCTCCAGCATGAGCTTGAGTAGGTTCTGTCTGAAGAGGTGGTGTTTGAGGCACCGGCACTTCTGGTCCACTAACGGGAACATCAGCAACAACATCTTCATCTCCTTCTTCATTCACCACAGGTGCTACAGTTCGCCTTTCGGCGTCGTCTGGATATTGAAATTGCTCAGAAACAGAAGAGTATCCTACTTTTTCGTCAAACACTCTCAGAAATGCCGGATATGTACAGTCGTTTTCTTCCCGAGGGGTATGGCTGGAGAACTTCCAATACACGGACGTGTGTGTTCTAGTATAGGACTCATCTTCCTCTTCAGGGACACAAAGAGAAATCGATGTTCCCTTGGGCAGATCACGAGTGTTTCCGTCTGCATCTAGTGAAATCATGCTAGGTTTAATGCCGTGCGCCGCAAATACTTCAAACATTTGCTCAGTGAACGTATTGCGTTTGGTAGTGCGAGTATTTCTATTTATCACTACAGCATCTATTGCATTGTCAAACATCACGTTCCATCGTTCCTTTTGCATGAGGACTTTTTGCGCCTCTTCCACCGCTACACGTCGTCCAGAATGAGGTTTGGCGTAAG